TGCTCAGACACTGTGCAATGCCTGTTTGTATATGTATTTGGTCACATTTGTTTCATGACAAAGTTGCAAACTCTAAACCAGGGAGTTCACAACTTTAATGAAAGTTAAGGAAAGGTGGAGTTAAACTGCAAGAGAAACTGGAACTGGACCATGAGAAAACACAGAAGAAAAGCAAAACCTGAAGTTTAGAACTGGTAGGTATCCTGGGGATGTCTGAAACTACACTAGGGTGCCTGGTTTCTCATCAGCCTGAGGAAGTTCAAGATTCAGTGTGTAGGTTGTGCTAGTGATACAGAGGAGAAGAATAGTGGATCATAGCTGGTTTCTACGGTCCTTTAAAAGGTCTTTGCCATCGAAAGCATAGTTTGTTTCTTGACCCAAAGGAAATAGCTGGTAAGTTGCCATCACAGGGCAGGATTATAAAGAGAGAACCTCATGCCAGTCCCAACAGAAAATGTGTCTTAGGTTGTACTGCTTCTTAGATCCCATCAAGAAAATTGCAAATAAAGTCAGGTGCTTCTTCTTGGGAAATGATGTTGGAGGATACCTGCAGTAGAAAGATCTGCTTGTATATGTATATATTGGTAAATGGGTGGTTGGAAGATCCACCTGGCAGCAAATGTGTGCCTAACACTGGTGTTACAACTGGACTGGAAAAATGGGGAATTGTCAACGTAAAGAGGCAGTTGGATTAGATGATTATTGCAGGTCGCTTCCAACCAAACCATGTTATGCCATTTTATGCTATTCTAAAGTAATATCTAGGGCTTCTCTGCTCAATATTAAAATATGATTTACTGGAGATTTGGTATATTAAATCAGCTTTCACTGAATTGCCTGTGATCATTAACAAAGTTAAAATGTTCAGACACAGAAGACTACTGAACTGAAGACCAAGGAGCTGATTTATGTAGCAAATTAACAACATTTTATATGCAAAAAAAAGGAGATTCTTATGCAAAAGTATTTTATGAAATAAACAAACAATGTGCTCTTAATGTTTACCTTTGCTATACTGACAGATAATCTTGCAGAAATAAGACATGAAACATCTGAAAACATGTAATTGAAGTAACATTTTTAATCACTTATTTTTGATAATTATGCTAATGAATGAAGTATTAAGTATTCTCTGTGGTCTAGCAAGAAATACTTGCACAGAATCACAGAATGAGTCAGATTGGAAGGGACCACAGTTGGTTGTACAGTTGAATCTCCCTGCTCAAGCAGTACCATCCTAGAGCTCATTACAAAGGATTGCTTCCAGACAGTTCTAGAATATCTCCAGTGAGGAAGAACCCACAGTCTCTCTGGCCTCTGTTCCAGCATTCTGTCACCTGCACAGGAAAGAAATTCTTCCTCATATTCAGGTAGAACTTCCTGTACATCCGTTTCTGTCTGTTGCCTCTTGTCCCATTGCTTGCAACCACAGAAAAGAGCCTGGCTCCATCTTATTGACACCCTCCCTTCAGATACTTACACACATTGATGAGGTCCCTTTGTCACTTCTTGAGGCTGAAAAGGCCCAGCTCCCTCAGCCTTTCCTCATAAGAGAGATTCTTCAGTCCCTTAAACATCTGTGTAGCCCTCTGCTGGACCTGCTCCAGGAACTCCACATCTGTCTTGTACTGAGGAGCCCAGAAGTGGACCCAGCACTCCAGATGTGACCTCACTAGGGCTGACTAGAATGGTGGGATCAGCTCCCTCGATCTGCTGCCAATGCTCCTCCTAATGAACCCCAAAATCCCACTGGGCCTTCTTGGCCACAAGGGCACACTGCTGGCTCATGAACAGCTTGCTCTTTACCAGGACTTTCAGGTCCTTCTCTGCAGAGCTGATTCCCAGCAAGTTAGCCCCCAACCTCTCCTGGTTCATGGGGTTATTCTTCCTTACATGAAGGATCCTGCATCTACTTTCAATGAATTTGGGACAGTTCTTCTCTGCCCATCTCTCCAAACTACTGAGGTCCTTCTAAAGGCTTCTGCAGCACTCTAGGGTATCAGCCAGTCTTCCCAGAAAGAAGTATCTAGTAAGAACCTGCTAAGTGGTTTGTTTCCTCTTTTTGTTTACCCCAGTCTGTTTGTAGATTATTGAATTACTCCTCTTTTCTGTCAGAAAGTTTTCACAGTCTTCTGCTGGTCATCTCTGCTTTGTGTAGGATGCAGCTGGCAATTCTGTATGACTCACCAGGTCTGTACTTCTGATCCACCTTCTAACAGAATTCTAGGGAATGATTCATTACTGAATTTGGCTCTAATTAGAGGCACATAAAAATGATGGTTACTAAACCTCTTATTACTCTTTTGCAGTTTAGGAGGCTATTTATGGCATCATCTGGTTAAGGTTATTCAGATATGTCTTTCTTAACTCTTTCTCAGCTTTCTACTCTAGTGTAAGAAGCACCACTGAGAGTGACCAGAGATTATCTTAAACCATTTTGAAGGCTCAGATGAAGGAGTTGATGGACAAAAGTGCTTGTGTAGTACAGTTATACTAAGTATGGCTGATACTACCCTTTAACATGGCGCAGTTTGTGTGATGCTTTGATTTCTTTTTGCAGTCTTGTTTTTCTTTAAAAAAAAAAAAAATTCAAATGTTGATTTGAAGGTTCGAGCCATGATGTAAAAGAAAGTATTCACTATGCCACAGCCTAACATTTAGGTTTTCAACTGTTCCCTGGGAAAGCAAGGGAGCTGAAATACAGTTAACCACCACTTCATCCAGGTTTTTTTATTTAAGGACAAGAAGGAATGATGTCTTTTTTTCTAAAAAAAGTCTCAATTTATTGCCTGTCTTTATTAAAGGCTAACTGGCTGGTAATGCTGGGGAGGTAACAGTGGGGACCTTGATGAGGCTCAGACAAGGCTACTCAGCACAGAGGTCAAGAGAAATAGTTTTCTCTGTCTGAGAAATTAGAGAACATTTGCTATGTGGCTCAAAAGGCCATGAACTTCCCTTATGGTGATCCATAGCTTATCTCTTACAACAGTCTGAGAGGATCCTCTGTGGCTGTGAAATATGCTAATGACAGCATAGGCAAGAAGTGGACAGAAGAAGGATTTCATAAATAGGCCAAGAGCATCAATCCAAAGCATTGTTATGAAGAACAAATGTATTTTCATCGAATAGATAAAAGCAGCTTCAGAAGAACACTGGAATTGAATTGCTTGAGTGTAGTAGCACTGAACAAGTTTGGTAGATTTGTATTAACATCACTGACACTCTTCTCTGAACCTGTTAAGATTAGAACAGATTAATACCAGAATGCATCTGAGAGTAACTAACTCTTTTTACAGAAACGTCTTTGGGAGCATGTTCTGCTGCTGACCTCATTTATCTATTTATTGATAAAATCAGTATATTACTGTCATGAAAGTGGCATGCAATTCCCTGAGGGTTTTGACATGATGTAACTTGACCTACATGTCAGGGTAGTTCCAGTGGATGTGCTGGATGAAGGGGAGCTCTGGTATGATCGCTGGTGGTGCTGATGGCAGGCAGGGGGTGGCTGTTTCTGCCAAGGGCATTGTTATGGCTCCCACTCTGGTTGCTCTTGAAGCCTAAGAGGTAGATATGTGTCTGGAATGGCTTCTACTCTCTCTCACCACTTCACAATTGAAAAAAAATGGCATCGGACAGAAACAGGCCCTGGCATCTCTTTCTTTGCTGAAATCCTATTTCATTCCTTTCTTCTGTTCACTGATGTCCTTCTGTAGCATTTTCTCTCTTTCTCCTGGAACCCAAAGACATTTCTTGTTGAGTTTAGTGAAACAGAGGCTTTTAGCATTTAACATTTTGCTTACACTATGTAAGATGCTACATGAAGTATTGAAAAAAGACATGTTCCTAAGGATGCATTTTAGTGTCCCTTTTGGAATCATCATGGACCTCAGTAGCACTGCCAGTGGCTCCAGATCCAGGCTTCTTGATGTATGCCCAGCTGCCCTTATTTCTATGCTGCCAGGGAGACCTGTGAGCCTGCACCCCAAGCCCCCCGTTCAACCTCTCTTCCTCTTTGCATCTGTGAAAAGAAAATGGTGGACTGGGAACAGAACAGGGCCTTCAGAGTATTCCTCAGGGTGCCCAGGTCAGGTCCTGTACTATGTTGGTACAGCATAATAGCTAAATACCAATTCAGGCTTTGTGATGCATAAATTACTGTTTGCTCCCACTGGCAGTCCAGATGATCTTTGTGACCTTGGAAAACACTGAGTGCCAACCTGTTTGTAGAGTTAGAGAGTTTGTTTAACTGAACAGTCAAGGGAGCTGAACACTAAAGGCATGAACATCTGAAAGGCGAGCCTATTCATTCAGGAGTCCTCCAGCTTGAAGGTGAAGGCGTTCTTGGATTCTTCCCAAGGGAATCGAAAGATCTGCTCCTGTACCCCTTTACTTAAAATCCTCATAACTCACCTGCATGCCTCAACCCACTGCTAATTCAATGTCCCTTCTGTTACTTGCTTGTCAAACTATAACATTTATAGTTGTTTACTGCAGCAATATAATGATAAAACTCTTTTTTTGGGGGTGGGTGGGGGAGGGAAGTATTTTTGCATTTTATCATCTAACACACACAAAAAAATGCGTCTATGCCACTACCCAGTCTGCAGGCAGGCAATTTTTCTGCAAGCTTTGAAAATAAGGGATTTTCTTTGCATAGCATAGACCCTTGTACCAAGGTTTATGCCTGCAGTGTCTGGCTTGTGGAACAAGAATCCAAAGGCTGATTCATAATTTATATGCGAGAAACTTGGCATTGCTCTAAGGAATAACAGCCAAACCATCCAGTCTGATGTGTGATTTATTTCTTGTAATTGGCTGGTCTACCAAGTCCTACAAGGTACATTGAGAACTTTTGTAAAGGCAGCTAAGCTGGTAGCAAAGAGCTCTGTTAAACTGAACATACAGAGAAATTTGTAAATGGAAAGACTAGAATAAAGAGAAAAATAAACAACATCAATAACAAAGCAGGGGTAATTGGAAGTGGAAAGAGCACAATGTCTACACAGTTCTTTCTAGATATAAGAACACTGAAAGAAGTAAAATTTTACCCTTCCATATCTAACTTCCAATGTCTGCAATGGGAAAATCAAAAGCTATGCAAAAGGTAACCAAGATAACTAAAAAAATGCTTTCCATTAAAGAACAAGAAGAACTGCAGATGACCCTTCTCCATACTTTTCTTTTGGGCATAGCAAAGAACTATGAGCTCAGAATTGGCACACAGGTGAGATACAGCAGGGAGTGTGTGTGTTGGCTAGTGGCATCCACTCAGATTTAACAGCTGCACTTCAGCGTAGCTTGCTACCTCTAATTTGTGATAATCTAAATTCTGTTTCCAGTACTCGGGAGAAGGAATAGACAAATTTTATCTCCTGACTATAACTGCATAATGCTAGAGGAAGCATTTTACTCAAAATAATAAAGATACTTTTCAATATCACCTTTGGTGCAGGGACTATTTATGCATAAGAATATTTCATACAATGGTTTCAATGCATAAACTTTAGCTGAACACTGAAAACACAAAAATGGCACAGGATATAGCAATATAATTAGTGTTTGTTGATGGTGACTCTTTTAAAAAAATTGTAGGTTAAAAATGATAATTTGAAACTGTTATACACCACAAGAAAACCTCAACCCACTAATTTGTGGAAAAGTGGGGATTTGGAGATGCAGAGACTTTGCATACTGAATAATATTTGACTGGCTGGTTAGTAGATAACATGGAGGGCATTTGGCAGTGTCAGGAAACTGTGTGCTTTGCATTCACCAGTCTACACACAGAAGCAGGGACGATTTGTTAAAGACTTGCGCTGGTTAAGGCCCAGAAGAAACATCAGCTGCCTGACTGCTAGGCCCACAGAGGAACTTTATCCATCAGAATACTGAGTGCTGAGTTTAACAGCTCTTAGGCCCCATGAAACCCGGGGGAATTCACATCCGTCTTGGGAACCCCTGCCTCCTGGCATGATACACTGTGTGTTCGTTCCATTTCTACATTGAAACCTTGGTTCTAGCAAGGGGGACAGAACACAACCATTTATTTGTTCTATTTTTTTTTAATACTAATTATTTAAATATATCTATTAGCGCCATGATGGGTTTGACTGCATGTTTCCTGAGATTTGTAACGGTTGGTTCTTATTTCTCAAAAAACCCAAAACTCAATATAATACAAATGCTTACAACAGTAATACACCTCCCACTTTATTAAGAGTCTTCTGTTCTCACTCCTTTAGGAACACTATTGCAGCATGAACTTATGGGTTATGTACTAGCAACAGCAAAGAAAACAAAAAAATAAAAAAAGAAATGACTCAATGGCCTTGGAAAGGAGTATGCCTTGTACATTTCCTCTTTTAATATTATAGAAAGATCATCACGAATTTCAGATCAGAATCACCGTTCAGTTAGAAAGACAGTAGAAAACCACTAGATGGTGGTAAAAAACCAAGCCTTTGCTATGAGCATTATGGAAAGAGAAGTCCAGAGGGGCAAAGAAGGGGAGGAGGAGTCACAGTTTGAGTACTGAAGTCATTATTGCTTGGAGTCTATAAAAAGGCAGTTGCACAGTAAGTCATTTATACGACGTCAGCTTTGACTCTATGGATTTGTTCATTTCTTTCCCTCTATTTTTTTCGTCTATTCCCACCAAGGAATCCCCAGCCCCAGATGTTGGGAGACGAGGGGGGCTGAAACTTCAGCTCTCTGGAGGAAAGGTTGCAGGCGGTGAAGAGGAAGAGCAGCTGAAGGAGCAGCTCTGATAAATAGGTACAGTTAATTCTTCATTGCAAATAAAAAGCTACTTTAAAAACTGAAAATTGTTTAGCATTATATGCCTTGAATTTTATTTGCAACAAGTCACTGACAAACAGCTCTTAAGTGTTCCCCTTATTAAGAATCGAATGGCTTACAACTTGTCCTGAATATTGTTATCACCAAAAAAAAAAAAAAAAAGAAAGTGAATAAAATATTAATGATCTGGAATAGAAAACTTATGTTACAATGAATTCCTCCCACACTAATTCTGTAACCTTAGTGTATCCTGAAATGTATGGATTTGCCTTGGTTAGATGTTTAATACCATTAATGCTTTTCAATGAACATGTTAGTATTGCACAGATCAACTGTTCATACATAGCACAGTTCATGAAAACTGTAAGGTACAAAGTTCAGGAAAGCATTTAATTATATTACTGAAAATATTCAATTCTTAATTGTGACAATAATCAAAACTTCTATATATTGTATTCAAGTGAGTGGTTTCTGTTGGACCTAATACTACATTGTCCTGCATTTCTGGGATCTGAGAGTCGGGACTGTGAAAACTGTTTGTTTGTTTTTCAGCAGAATTTCCAGGAAAATCTGGGGAATTATTCCAGGGCATTAAACAGAATAAACAAAAGAATGAATGAAGGGTGGGTGAATCTCTTCACTAGTTTGTCATTTTATTTTCCCAGTAAGGATGGGTATAAAATCTCTGAGCTGACCAAAAGTTAATTTAGAATCAGTAGAGAAATATGATGTGGAAGTGGCAGGACATGTATGAGCCAAATTAAATAGAAATGGGTGATATTTATTTTGTCAACTTCTGCCTGTACTCATCATGATATTTTTTTTTTTTTTTGTCAGGATCTTTTGTCTTTTGGAAAATGCATTTATCACACTCCTTGGCAAGCCCCTCAGAAGGAACAGAATGTGTTAGTTTCCAGACATGAACACATCCTCTCAATTGTATGTTTCTGAACTAAACCTGAGTGCCTTTGGTGACAACTTTACTGTGCCTACTGCCAAGAGCAAGTCGTCATCATGTGAGCAAGTGGTCATTGCAGCTGAGGTGTTCCTAACTCTGGGCATTGTAAGCCTGCTTGAAAACATCTTAGTTATATGTGCAATAGTTAAGAACAAGAACTTGCATTCACCAATGTACTTTTTTGTTTGCAGTTTAGCAGTGGCTGACATGCTGGTTAGTGTGTCCAATGCTTGGGAGACCATAACAATATATTTAATAAACAACAGACACGTCATTATGGAAGATGCCTTTGTCCGTCACATAGACAATGTCTTTGATTCAATGATTTGCATATCTGTGGTGGCTTCCATGTGCAGTTTGCTGGCTATAGCAGTAGACAGATACATCACTATCTTCTATGCCCTGCGTTACCACAATATCATGACAGTGAAAAGATCAGGGCTTATTATTGCGTGCATCTGGACCTTTTGCACGGGTTGTGGCATTATCTTTATTCTTTATTATGAATCAACTTACGTGGTCATTTGTCTCATCACTATGTTTTTTACCATGTTGTTCCTCATGGTCTCGCTGTACATCCATATGTTCCTCCTGGCTCGTACTCATGTGAAGAAAATTGCTGCTTTGCCTGGGTACAACTCTGTCCGTCAAAGAACCAGCATGAAAGGAGCCATCACTCTGACTATGCTTCTTGGCATCTTCATTGTTTGCTGGGCTCCATTCTTCCTTCATCTCATCCTGATGATCTCCTGCCCTCAAAACCTCTACTGTGTTTGCTTCATGTCTCACTTCAACATGTACCTCATTCTCATTATGTGCAATTCGGTGATCGATCCCTTGATCTATGCCTTTCGTAGCCAGGAAATGAGGAAGACCTTCAAAGAGATAATTTGTTGCTATAGCCTGAGAATGGTCTGTGGTTTATCAGACAAATACTGAGAAAACAAAACCAAACCAAGGAAGAGAATAGAAATGTGACAACCTGCCGCATCTTGTAACTCTGCTGAAATGCCTATGGAACACTTTCTCCATTCAGCTCTCATGATTTCTGCAGCAATCAGAACCTATTTTTTAACATGTGATTTTACATTTCTTTCCCTCCACACACCTCTCTCATGCTGATGGCAGGAGCTACTCAGTGCATCTGTATAATGGGGAGAAGAATATTCAGAATCTCATTTACCCTACCGAAGGCTTGATTTTATTAGGCGATTCTACAAGGAAAGCCACACTTCTCTTTCTGCTAAATGCAATGAGTGAGACCTGCCACGTGAATGAATCCATCGTCTGCTCAACTCATGCATCTTTCGATATCATTTGTCTCTCTAGATTAAAAAAAAGATAAATAAAACTTGTGTCGCTATGTAAAAATAAGCATGGCTTATTTTGATGCCCAGAATTACCAGGTTTTTTTGTTTTGTTTTGTTTTGTTTTGTTTTGTTTTTTTGCTATTTCCTTCCTGAAGACATAAAATCAGAGAAGTATCTCCAATTATCAAGCTTCACATACCTTTGTTAACAGTTATGGTCAATATACATGCACATATCAGCAGTCTCGTATTGCGGACATGACTGTTACTGTCATAAAATGTGTATTTAGTAAGAGGCCTGTGTTACCATGAGATTTTCCAGGCTGGGTACAATAATTTGTCATATATGACGATCTGTGTTTTAATCACACTGATGTGTGAGGCACCATAGGTGGATTTTAAGGCTGAATCTGAAGACTGAGCTGATTCTAGTTTGTCTGTTTTCTTTTGTTCACCAGGGCTAGGGAAGTAAAGGGTACATTGCCTCTAGATAGTCATGTAATATTTCGTGAAGATGGAAAGACTGGGTGAGTGCCTGCCTTTGAACATATATTAGGAAAACTTTTGGCTGTGAGGAGCCTCTGTTACTGGAGAAAGTTGTTCTGTAGATTGTGTTTTTCAAATTGAGAGAGAAAAAACAAGTTTGATAATCAAAAGCCATAGCAGGCAATGGCAAAACAGGGATTTCAAAACCTCAGGCACATGTAGCCATGACAAAGAGTCCTGACTTTTGCTCCCTAAACAAACAGATTTTGTCTTTATTGAGAGGATTCTAGGCTGAAACTCTCATGCCTTTTGTGTAATTTGAATCTAGTCATACTCTCATAAACATGCTGTTCTGCAACAGCTGTGTAATGTACAAAATATTGGATTTGTCACAGATGAAGGAAGTATGGCATTGATTTCTGGATGACCATGGATGGTGCATATCTTGCACTATGATTTAAGCTATGAAAATATTTCAAGTGGTGACAACTTATTGACTAGATATCAGAAAATACCTTGGAAAAATGAGCTATTCCTTCTGAAATCTGAAAGAATAATGCTTGTTATACTTGGTTTACTGATACAGTAAAACTCTCATTCTCAGTGGAAGGAATATGATTTATTCCATGGGTGTTAGGTTATACCTTCAAGGTGAAAGTCCTGATCTGGTTTTAGGAAATTTTTTTACCACAAGGGTGGTCAAACATAGGAACGGGTACCCAGTTGCACTGCAAACTCCATCCTTAGAGATATTCAAAACTTGACTGAACACAGCCCTGAGCAATCTGGTCTGAATTGATAGGAGACTGACTTTGAAGTTTGCCCTGCTTTGAATGGTTAGAAATAGACCGCCTCCGTAGGTCCCTTCCAACCCAAGTTATTTGGTGTTTCTATGAAACAGTTTGCATATTATGATAAAGTGATAATTTTTCCCTCCTAATTTTATCTCTTATGTAAGAAAAAATGTAATATTTTCTCCTTCAAACATTTAAAAAGATAGAATACTTGTGTTTTCATTTGCTTTGGAGGTCTCTGACAGGAGAAGTAAGGTGTACCTTTAGCACTGTAGTTGTACATTTTGTCTGCTGCACCTTAAAAGATATTATTCCTTCAACTCACACTTTTCTCAGTCTAACATGAGTGGGAGTGTTATTCTCAGTGGAGATATCTCATTATGCTGACTGATATAATGGTTATATCAGTGCACTAGGTTCTGGAATCTTCCTTCAGCTATATAAGAAAATGGGATTTCAGAGATATGTTTGTGGTCAGTGGTGAGAATTTTGCCTTGTTTAAGTCCATCTCTTAACCTTCTCCATAAATAGCACCTAAATGTGGGCTCTTGCAACTAGGAATGTAAATGGGAAAAGGAGACAGTTCCATTGCATAGTGAAAGGCACCAGCTGATGTAAGTAAATCATTAAATCTTCACCAGGTATTGCAAATAAGACAGTTTTGTACAGAATTGTAAAACAACAAAGGGGAAGCCAAAACTATAATAGCTTTGGGTGTTTTCTTGAATTGTATAATAATTTTTTTGTTTTGCTTGTTTGGAGTTTGTTTGATGTATAAACACAGACATATGAAGATTAAACTGGATTGCTGGAAAACCCACTGTTACTGGTTATTCATTGTAGTGTGTCTGCTACCTTACAGATTATTCACAGGGGGAATATTGCATTACAGACTTTCATGGCTCAGTTTAAACAGATGCCTTACTAAGAAACACATTCTGAGTGAGAGTTACTATTGCAGGTGGGGGTTTGTCCCGCGGCAGACCCAGCGGCACATTTTGTATGGGAAATAGGACACACGAGATGTGACCCACAAAATGGCATTTATTAAAACAAGAAGACAGCTTATATACAGGGGAATACAGAAGTTTCGGGAATAGAGGAGGGTTTCTGCTAGGAAACATCAAATCCTGAGGTTCAGTGATAAAGGGACTGGGGGAGATAGGCTGCAGGGAATATGTCTGGTCACTCAGGGGGAAGGGAGAGCTAGGGAAGAATGGAAGGAGTGCACAGACAGGGGAATCTGCTGAGGCTGCAAGGCTGCGGCCTTGTAGCTGGGTCCCAAGCAGTTCTGCGCAGCTGCAGTTGCTAGAAGACTTCTAGATAGACCTTTTCTTCTGAGTCTTCCTTGCAGCTCTTTTGCATCTCTCTCCACTCTCTGTAGGTCTCTTCTGGTCCACCCCTGACAAGTTACAGGCTAATACAATGTATTTACATTCATACCTATGTTCCTCTGTGTGTCAGCATCACATCTTCATTCGGGGTGGGGTGCTGAAACAGCTTCTAAGGGTGAAAGGAAAGTATTTGCAGGAACAGGCTAGAGCAGTTCCTGCAAAAAAGGTTATTTCAACTATAGGAATGCATATAAAATATATATCTCCGGAAGACCATGACATGCTTTAACATGTTTCTTTCTCCTGTTTAGCTACAGAATAAAAGGAACATTTAGCTTGCCCTAGAAAACTCTAAGTATTCCAGTAGCCTGGGACAAGCAAGTGTTAGGTAAGTAGGAAATTTGCTGCCAAAGGACAGTCATGAAAAAATTAGCTGTTAGGCTATCATGGCACCATGTCCAGTTAACAACACTACTCTTGCTTATATAGCCAGTCATTTATGATTTAGCTTTAGTAATAGAAAAAAACCATCAAATCACAGTATATCTCTCCCAGAGCTCCAAAACTAATTTGCATTGCCCAGTGTTATTTGATAACAGAAAATTTCACTGTTTTTAACTTCTGTATTTAAAAGTTTTTGGGAAGCAATTACTTGGATCTCACTTCTGTTGCAGATGGGACTTCTACAAAGTCACCTGTATTTTCAGCAGGTTATTATCAGTGGGAACATTAAAAAAAAAAAAAAATCTGAATCTTTTCTCTGGACCAAGGCCTCAATAAGGTACCTGGAAATACTAGTTTTCCAAGAGCCTTACATCTCCTTTAAAACAGAGTCATAACTGAATGGAGCAAAGAAATTGTTTATGATCCTGGACTTTAGGATCCTGCTTCCCAAATGGGTACAAATCTGTCATAAAGGGCTCTAATTGCTGAGTCCCACTGTCTCTGAGTCTGGACTGGAGGGATGATTGCTTTCAGCTCTACAGCCTACAGGTCTGCACCCAGTGTGCAACCAGTGTTCAATGGTACAGACTAATACAGCGTGGAACCCTTTTGAGAGTGGGTTGTACTTTCATTCCCACCACTTAGGCTTCCCCTTTTAGAAAACCTTCTCTGAGTGTCTGTCTGGAGACTTGAGTTGTGGTTTCTGTGAGTCCCTAGCAAGTAACCCCTGGAATTTCCTGCACACACAAACTTTAAGAAGGCAGAAAAGATTTGCAATCTTTGGGAAAAAACTCCCCTACACAGTCTGCTCTCTGAAATCTCCAAGGACTCAGTTTTACCGCAAAGCCTTGCTGGGGATTCTCCTGCCTATCTTGCAGGAAATCTTTATTCTCTTGTTCATCAGCTTCTTGCACAGAAGACCAACTTGTGGTGCTCACTGCTGTGCTCAGGAATTGCAATAGATGATCCCAGCCTTCAGCTGTGTTGGAGTGCAAGCACGGTGCCCTTCTGGTTAGACAGAGTGGGTAAAGAAGATATGGGAACATGGGAAATGAGGATCCCCACATGAGGGACAGAAAGTCACACAGGCTGTGGTGGAGCTGCCTGCATAAGTCTCTGTGCTAGGCTATCTCCAGGTGAGGTGTTCTCCCTCCTTTTCTAATCGTATCATGTGTTACAACCTAAGCTGTGTGCATCTTGTATTCCACTTGTTCTTCATACAGGACAGAAAAGGAGAATCTGAGGTGTGTGTGTTTATACTTATATACAAGCCTAACTGAGCTCTTACTCGCAAATGTAAGGTACAATTACAGATGACACCAACAGATGAAATGAGAAATGAAATGTGAGAATGTACAGTTTCTTTTTCTCTAACCCTCTTCCTCCTTGTCAGTCAGCTATTTGTTATACTACTTTCTGGTCTGTAGTGTGTTTCTCACATATTTCCTCTACCTGTGAACAAACTAGCAACAGTCTAAATCTGAATTAGAAAGGAAAAACCTCAAGTAATTTTTACATCTCGAGCTTTTGAAAATTATAGCAAATCAGTGTGATAGAACAAAAAGTTCCCTTAGCACCTATCACACCAAAGATCTAGTAAATTAGTTAAATTCTTGTGGTCCTTTAGCATTATTCCTACAGTGTTGGTTTTTTTTGAGCTGCTTGCCTAAAAAGCCCTAAAAGTGCATGACTAGCTGTGCTGAATACTGAGAATGGAGAGTTTTCATCAAAATAAAGAACAGCTCTTTAGGGACATAATGCAAAGTCTGGACATGGGTCCGGTAATCCTCTGGAATGCTAGTAGAGCTTCCAGAAACTATGGTTTAGGGACTTGGGCAGGAGGTTATATTTACGGCTTTGTAACTGAGCTCTCATTTAATGTGTTTTATATGATTTTATCTAATCACTTTTAAATCTCTTTCTTTTAATCTACAACATCTTGTTTCTAAGGTTAGATAGGTT